ATGTGCAGCCTGTGCTCAGCTGGGATAATGTTAGGACCTTTCTGCTGCTGCTTTTTACACCCACTGAAAATCCTCACAGGGTTTTTGATTTGGGCCAGGGCGTTTAACGGCAGGTTGCTGCTTGGGGTGTGGCCAGTCTGGCTAGCTTGTGGATGGCCCATGCCAGTGGCATTGCCATGGCCAAAGGGCAGGGCACTAAACCCTACACCATCCGCAGCCCATGTCAAGAGGACATGCCTGGGCACTGCACTGTCCGCTCCCCACACCGAGCAGACAACAGTGCCTGGCCAGACCCTCAGCTGCCCACTCATACCATGGGGCTGGCTGCGGTGGGGAGCTGCAAGAGACCAGCACAAGACCGCGTGCATGGTGGGGAGGGGGAACCTGAAGCAGGAAAGCCTGAAATGACTCTTCCAGCACAAGAAAGTCAGCCTGTCTCTCCCTGTAGCAGCTTCTAGCTGTGCTGATGCAGCCTGCAAATACCACCACTCTCCTGCTCCCCAAAAGCCAGCCTGCCACCCCACCCTGTGCCGAGTGCCCCTCTCACCCCGCTATCCTGTGAAGACATGAGCTTCACACCCAGCGCCTATTTTCCCCAGCTGCCCCACGGCCAGGCACAGGCAGGGCTGGGCTGTTTGTTAGTGATGCGTCCCCCACCCCGAGTCACCGTGTAAAACTCGAAGCAGAACCGTGCGGCTCTAGGACTGCTCCTTTCATGCACTGGCGTGACCTGCACAACACAGCCCCTGGTGATCGCCTGCATCTCTCAGTGCCTTCAAAGCGGCTCTTGATTGATGTGTTTCCCTGACTCACAAGCTTCAAGAGGCTTTGAAGACACTGGGCCAGGCTCTGATCTCTCTTGGGCTGATGCAAATCAGGAGCAATGGTGCTGACAACAGTGCAATAATCCACACTGATGTCAAGCCAGTAAAAATAAGAGCAGAAACAGAGTTTTGGTCTTTCCTCTGCCTTGAAGGGACCTGAGCAGCACTCTGAAGCACAGAGCCACAAACTCTGCAAAGAAAACTAGGTGTAAAGCAAAGGACACACTATGCTGTAGAAGGGCACTTGTCCTTCCTGCAGCTAAGGAGGGAAGGAGTGTTACACTTTTTATTTTCTTTTCACAGTTAAATAAAGTTCAGTGAGAGAGTTCAGTGAGAAACGTAAGCTCTCAGCCAATGGCATCGTCATAGCCAGGATTAGGCTTGGGGAAAGTCCCAGCTCTGCTGGTTTCAGCCTGGCAGCAGTACACAGGGATATATTCACACTTCTCATGTGGGACTGGCTGACAGCACAAGAGCTGCAGGCAGCACCTGCCTAATGCTGATTCAGGGGTGTGAGAAAGATGGGCTAGCCCAGGGCAAACTGGGCTATGAGAGGCAAGAGCCATGAATGTCCCCAGACAGGCAAGACACCAAAAGATGGGCATTGCCTTTTGCCTGGGGTGCTCTGTGTCCCCGTGCCATCTCATACCCGCCTGGCAAAGCCCTGCCTGCCCATGGGCTACCTGGGGCTGCCAGGCTCCCAGCCACTGCCGGCAGCATCCCTTCTTCACAGCCCCCCTCTCGCCCTCTCCCCAGGTGTGGTTTCAGAACCGGCGAGCGAAATGGCGCAAGCGAAAGATGCAGCAGGTCCGGACCCACTTCTCCACCGCCTACGAGCTGCCCCTGCTCACCCGTGCTGAGAACTATGCCCAGGTGAGTGCATCCCCCAGCCCTTCACTGTCTGTCCCAGTGCTTGCTAGACACACCACCTCTGGTCCCAGTCCCCCCACCAAGTGATGCTATGCTTCTCAGGTTCTTCCCCCTGCCCCTAGGCAAGGCTGCAAGAATGCTGGGGCTATATTTCCAAGCACTAAAGGGCCAGGAGTTATTTAGCTGGGTGTCCTGCCCTTATGCCCTGGTCCAGAGCAGCCATCTCTGTAGCAGGCACCAAGCCCAGCCCTGTGTGACATAGTGCAGACCCTTCATGCACAGGTCACCCTGCTCAGCACATCCCATTACGCTGTCGTTCTCCCATCACATGTGCTGCTGCCCACTAACTTCCCACTGGTTTGGAAAAGGTCCAAAAGGCTATTTTATGCCTAAAAACCCAGTAGTTCCCAGGAAGGCTTCCTGTTGACATGCCTAGATTTCCATGCCCCTTCTTTAGGCAGTTGGACAAAAGCATTTTTCCCCTGGCAAATTCCCACAGCTGTCTCCTGGCGATGGGCAGTGGTACCCGCAGTGCACTCAGTGACGTCTGGGGATGCTTCCCAAAGGACTTGTGGGTTTGTGCTCCAAAGGAAGGGTGGGAACAGCCTTGTTGGGGCATCTGGGGCTGCTCCCGGGGCCTGTTGAAACCATTTCTGCTCTGGCCCAGGAGGCAGGTGACACAGCTAGCTTCCTGTCCTGGGAAACCTGTCACCACAGTATCCTCCTAAGCAGGAGGCCAGCTCCCATTTCTCAACACTGCCTTCAGACGATGCCAGGGTGGATGGGCATTTGTTAGCTCAAGGGCTAGGCTGTGCCCCCACAAAGCACTCCCTCCATCCTGCTGACTCCTCTTCCCGCCACCCAGAATTGGCTCGAGGGCACAGTTCTGCAGGTGTGATGGTCTGAACATGACTTGTCCTCACAAATCTGCTGGGAGTCCTCCCCCCGTCGACACCCCGACTGTCAGCTACCTGCCGAGCCAGTGTTGCACCAAAGCTCCGCTGCAGCCACGCCAACAGCATTTGACCTCTCTCCTGCTTGGCGTCTCCCCCGAACTGAACAAGAAGCCCTTATGAAACAGCTGAGAGATGCCAAAGCAACTTCTCATGCAGAGGACACTCTCAGCAGCCTTTTCAGCACTCCCTTCTCTTGCCTTTGTAACTTACACTGCTCCCTCCATACTGCCCTCCTCTCCCAGCCCTAGAGATCCAAAAAATGAAAAGCAATTTGCAGGAGGCAGGAGATCAGAGAGACCCCAAGGGTGAGCAGTGCAGCGGGGTGGTGTTATGAAGGGCCCTTTGCTCTCTTGCTCCAGCCAACTGCTCACCTCTTCCCCGCTTTCATCCTGCGTGCCCATTTGCCCCACTGCTGCAGCACACCTACTCCCACTGGCGAATACTGAGCCCTCCTGCTTTTCTTCTGCAATACCATTTTATGAGTGATGCTATAGGAGCCCAGATGGCTGCTCGAGGCAGCCCCACAAGGCTCTGTTCTGCAGCAGGGTGGGCGATGCTTCCCTGGTGGGCAATGAGTGCTGCTGGGTATAGGGGCAGGGAAGCTGCCTGTGCTGGGGACTGCAGGCAGCTGGGCTCCAATGGGTGTGTCATAGAAACATAGAGTCATAGAATGGGTTGGGTTGGGAGGGACCTTGAAGATCATCCTGTTCCAACCCCCCTGACATGGGCAGGGATACCTCCCACTAGACCAGGTTGCTCCAAGCCCCATCCAACCTGGTCTTGAACACTGCCAGGGAGGGGGCAGCCACAGCTTCTCTGGGCAACCTGTGCCAGTGTCTCATCACCTTCACAGTGAAGAACTTCTTGCTGATACCTCATCTAAATCTCCCCTCTTTCAGTTTAAAGCCGTTGCTCCTCATCCTATCACTACACTCCCTGATCAAGGGTCCCTCCCCACCTTTCCCTTTAAGTACTGGGAGGCCGCTAGAAGGTCTCCCTGGAGCCTTCTCTTCTCCAGGATGAACCACTCCTATTCTCTCAGCTTATCCTCACAGGGGAGGTGCTCCTGCCTCCAATCATCTTCATGACCCACTTATTCATCTCCTCTGGACCCACTCAAGCAGGTTCACGTCTTTTCTATGCTGGGGGCCCCAGAGCTGGACACAGTACTGCAGGCAGGGTCTCACCAATGTAGAGGGGGAGAATCACCTCCCTTGACCCGCTGGCCACACTTCTCTTGATGCAACCCAGGATGTGGTTGGCCTCCTTGCCTAGGCAGAGCTGCCCCAAGCTGGGGCAGGAAGGCGGTTCGGCAGTCTCGCAGCATCCCATTCTGTCTGTTCCCTCTGTTGTGGGTAGGCCCACAGAAACACTGTGGATGACACCAGGTTTTCTGTGCCGAGGGCATCCCTGCTCTAAAAAGTACTCATGGTGCAAAAAAATCAAAAGACAAATGGCTGGGAGGGTGAAAGAGATGAACAGAAAGACACCATGGCAGAGGAGGGGCACAGTCCTGCTCCCTGTGAGTTAGCCTCCTGCACTCCCTGCCCCTGTCCGGGCTGGCATACAGATTTTGGAGAGGACCTGCTGGCGTCAGGGGAGCTGCAGATGATGGTGTACATCCCATCACACTGGCTGCCCCTTGTACCAGGGCTGCTCTGTGGGGTGGTGGAAGGGGCTGTGGCTGGACATGCTCTATCCCCCCAGGCCAGCTGCAAGCCGTGTCCCATGCAGGGCAGCCCTGA